TTCTTCCCATAGCTATAACCTACTGCAGCAAAAACCAAGTACAAGTATGTAACATTTCACTATATAAAGGTCACAATCTTGGATATCAATGGATATTTCATTTGGAAAGAACTGCCATTTTTCTAATGCATATGCTAAATCAATGGTTTCAATCTTTTAAGTGAATATAAAAGATGCCAAGAAAGGTTTAAAGGAAGAACTCCCTGGAAAGGATATTGAAGATCTACATGAGTTAACAAAATCCCCTAAGCGTATCTTCAGTGACTGCTACCCTGGCAAGCACTCCTCAGCTGGGAATGTTGGAACAAAGACCAAAGAATTTACCGTATTTCCTTAGGAAAAATCTCCCTGTGCATTGCACAAGCTTTCCTCTGCTTTCACCTCCTTGTACGCATCACAGTTTGAAAGTTCAAACACCTTTATTGTGCTTTCACCCCCTGCGATGTGTTGGTAGCACATGTCTCCAGGTACTAAGGACAATTTTTTCTTTTTAAGATATGAGACTTTCTAGTACTGACCTCTCAAATAAGAAGGCTTAAGTTACCGAAGTGATGGGTCTAAAGGACCCCTGGCACCTGTTTCATTCATCCTCCCTCCGTTTCATATTCTGCTTCAAACCATTCACCCTCCCCCTTCAATCTAGAGATGATCTGTCAACCATTCCAGACTCTAGAGACCCGATCTACAATAGATGAGAAATAAGTCACTAAAGGCAAATAGCTACAAGAATCAGCACTGGATTACCCCAGGGAAGATCATGGAAACCCCTTTCCTCCTTGCGGTCCTCTGGCCCAAATCCTCCTGGCCCTTTAAGACCCAAGCCCTCCCTGAAGCCCTCTCTCCCTGCTTCCCCAGCTGTGACAGGCAACGAACCATAGTCAAGAGACTATCTCCTATGCCGAGGGCTCCTTTCAATTTTTTTAAGCAATGTGTAACTTAAATGTTCAGGCCTCCAAAATTAATAAAGCCAAGCCCATTTGCCATCTGCCCCCATTTGTGAGGCAAAAACACTTTACCATTTGTAAAAACCTATGTATAAAGGCCACTGCTGCCCCAGGGGCTTACAGTCTAGGTTAAACCAGTAACTCAGAAATAAAATTAACCACTGGAGGAAGCTATAAAATTTCACATAAAGCAAGGTTCTACAGTATTTATGTTGCACTTGTATGAGAGAACACATGGGGCCTTGGCTGGCTTTTTGTTGATTCTAAATTATTCAGTGCTGCATT